CAGGCATGTGCCCTTGACGGAATCAAACCCGGAACCCTCAGTCTGAAAGCTGATGTTCTATCCATTGAGCCAAACCAGGTAGGCAGAGGTTGCAATTCCTATCGTCATCATCACCATCTCCATTTTACAGATAAGGAAACTGAGGCACAGCATTATGTCACTCCAGGAAGTGGCAGAGGCAGGATTTGAACCCAGGCACTCTGGCACCTGCTGCCAAGCTCGTCCCTCTACTTCTTGGCATCGGGTCCAGGCTTCAGCCCCCTTCTCTTAGCTCCCTGTCCCGATCCCAACAGCTTCTGCTTCCTCGGCGCTGGCCATCTTTCTGGCGCTGTCCCACCCTGGGGACTGGGATGCCATCATCCCTCAGTTACCCATGAGCAAACTGAGGCTCCGAGCCGGGGAGCCATCTGCCCAAGGTCACTCACACCAGTGATGGGGCCTAAGCTATGATGCTTCCAACCCTGGAGATCCCAGAGGCTTTGACCCAGTGTGGTGCCAGCCCTGGGCTGAGGGTGGTGAGGGGATACTGAGCCATTTAAGGCATGGCTTCTGCCTTTCTAGAGTTCAAAGTTCAAGGCTTCCCACAGGTCTCTAGTGGGCAGCTGGCCCCAGACCTGCTCCCCAGAGAGCCTGGCATGGAGTCACCGGGGCCTGCCAAGAGCCCTGGGTGCAGCCCTGTGCCTGACAACTATGCCTGCTGCTGCCCGTCAGGGAGCGGGCTGGGGGGAAAGGATGGTAGTGGATAAAGTTTCCAGATCGGGTGTCAGAGAACAGACCACTTCTCTTTCTGTCCTGAGTGAGTGAAGGGGGCAAGCTTGGGGCAATGGGAGGAAAGATGCCTTGTGTCTGCCTGAAAGTCATTTCCCAGCTCAAAAATTAACTGACTGATAAAGCATTTTCTTCTTCCGCCCCCCCGCCCCCGTACTCCCCCCCCCGCCTCCTCCCCGTCCCCCCCCCCCCCCCCCCCCGCCCCTCATCTCGTGTGCTTGCCTGCAGACTTTAATCCCTGTGGTAATGGACCGGCTAAGCCCGAGAAGCTGGGATTTCTTTGGCGGGAGTGGGGGATTATGGGCTTCCTGTGAGAAATGTCTGGGCTGGGGTGCATGAACAGGGCTGCTCAGGGACTGTGGGAACCTTCCTTTCTTGCTCCCAACCAGGGCCAGGACTCGAGCAGACCCAGTGAGGCACCCGGGGAGCAGTTCAAGGGGGCTCATTGTCAGGGTTGTGCACCTGCCTTCCCCTGGCCTCAGCACTGCCTCCCACTCCTGCTGCACAGTGGGCTTCAAGGTCAAGCAAGTCCTTACCTCTGACCCGAGGCGTGACCGCAGGCAAGCCACTTTCCCTCTCCGGGCAACCGTTGTACCAGGGTTAGATCAGACAGGATTTCTTAGCCTCGGCACTATTGACATTGACCCTATTGGGAAAGAATAATTCTCTGTGTGGGGCTGTCCTGGGCACGTCAGGAAGTTTAGTAGCACCCCTGGCCTCTATCACTAGATTTCTCCCCTTTAATCAGGCACACATCCCCTGGGGACAAAGTCACTCCCTGTTGAGAACCTTGGGATTAAATGATCTCAGATTCAGTCTAGCTGTCATATTTTAAGGCTTTCTTTTTTAAGATTTAAGAAGAATATTTAAGAAATTGAACTTGAATTATTAATAACCAAGTACATTAGTATTTGATTATTAATAATTTATTCAGCCCAGCCGGCATGGCTCAGTGGTTGAGCATCGACCTATGAACCAGGAGGTCAAGGTTTGATTCCCAGTCAAGGCACATGCCCAGTTTGCAGGCTTGATCCCCATGCAGGAGGCAGGCAATCAATGATTCTCTCTCATCACTTACGTCCCTCTCCCTTCCTCTTTGAAATCAATAAAAATATATTTTAAAAAATAATAATTCATCCAACTTAATAGCTCATATTTATTGAGCATTCCCATGTGTCCATCACTGGGACAGTGGTTAACTTACATAAAATAATTCACCCTCCGAGGTAGGCACTATCATCGTGTGCCTACAGCAAGTAAGGAAATGAGGGTGAGGGCATTAAGTAACTGGCCCAGGATCGCACGGCCAGAGTGTGGAAGGTTTATCTGATTCCAAAACGCTTGGTGCTTCTACTGTGCATGTTCAACATAGAAAGGTTAGGAAATATAGTACTTCCTGAGGACCACACTGCAGGGGGAAGGCACTTCTGCTTTGAGTTGGTGGGACCCAGACTTTTCTATTCCACCCACTTTTCTAAAGCAGCCTGACAACAGCATCCCAGGGTAACAAAGGGAGAAGAACACGCCATCTTTGATGAGAAGGGCAGACTACAGCCCCACCCCCAGTGCGTGAAGAAGAGGTAACAATGGCGGTGGAATATGGACCAAATGGCAGAAGGAAACCAAGGGCGGGCTGTACACGCTCTGCAGCTACCAGGCAGGACGCAGACTTCTCCAGACATACTGTTCAGCTCCCAAGCTCTTCCCAATCTGGCAGAACCTGGAGACTACTGGCGGTGGGGGAGGGGGGGGAGGGGGGGGAGTAGCTGAGACAGGTGGAAGACAGAGGATGGACAATGATATCGGAAGGCGGGTGGAAGATAGAGGATGGACAATGATCAGTTAAATCATTGTAATAGGGTTTGAGTTTCCTTTCTCAGTCAGACTAAGAGACGTGAAAACTCAGAGAACCTCAAAGAACTGCGACATTCTTGGGTCTTCACACTGAATCTCCACAGTGAGCCCAACGCTTAGCGTGGAGACACATTCCAGGGCCATGCTGCTGACCAGGGATTCTGCGATGACCAACAGTGCTAATGGGTAGGCACCTGCCGTCAGCTTCCTCCCAGCCCCTCTCCCCACATTTGCCTCTGACAAAGAATGGGTCTGAGAGGAGTAGCCCTAATCCTGCGATGAATGGCTAGCATGGGACCCACAAAAAGACAGGGTGAGAAATAAGAAGAAAGGGGACATCAAATGAAAATAAAGAATAAATACTGAAGAGCTGTGTTATGAAGTTGGAGAAAACTACTAAACAGATATTTCTCCATGAGATTACAAAAATAAATAAATAAAATAAAAATAAATCATTTCGGTGGGATTTTCAGTGATGTAGACAACCCCAGATTATTATTCTCCATTTCCAGATGAACAAACTCACGCTCAGAGGCGTCAGTGACTTGCCACAAAAAGTCAGTAGGAAAACCACTATGGCCAGGCCTCCTTGGCCCTGAGGCCCGACTTCTCTAAAGCAGCTCTGGCCAGCAGAACTTTCTGCGATGAGGGAAATGTCCCATATTCTCTGTCCAGAATGGTGGACACAAGTCTCATGTGGCTGCTGAGCTCTTGAACTGTGGCTCGTGTGACTGAGAAGCTGGAATTCTGCATTTCATTGAGGTGGAATGGGTTTACACTTGAATCGCTCCACATGGCCTGAAGCTACTGCATCTGCACAGCTCAGTGCTGGGCCCTTCCTTGACACTCGTTTCCCTTCTACATCAGCCATCATTGGACATCAAGTTCTCAAATCTGTCCTTGAACATTAGGACCAGGCTTCTTGCTTCAGGCTCCGTCTTTTTGGGTCTGGCCTCCTTTAGGCTTAACCACCCCCGGAAGTTCCAGTTGAGTCATGCCACCTTCTGAGGGCCAAGGGAAAGATAGCCTGGGAAGTTGAGAGATGTTTCACCTGGAGTCAGGACTCCACCTACCTTGGGCCACCTTCTTGCAGTGAAACCTCTGGATAGAACAGAGTGGTCAGGAACCAAAGTTCTGACTCTGAGATGACCCAGAAAGGAGCCTGCGAGATCAGACACCTTCTGCAGCCTTTGAACTCCACAAGTTAAAATTCAAAGGAACAGGATCTGATGATCTCGTGACTCTACCTTCTCCCCTTATCTGCCTTCTGTCTGTGAGTTTGACAACTCTAGGAACCACATATAAATGGGATTTTACAATATTCATCTTTTTGTAGCTGGCTTGTTTTGCTTAGCATGTCTTCAAGGTTTACCCATGCTGTACAATGTGTCAGAATTTCCCTCCTTTTTGAGGCTGGATAATATTCCATTATCCACAGTTTCCTTATTCACCTGTCAATGGATTCATGGGTTGCCTCCACATTTTAGCTTTTGTGAATAGTGCTGCTGTGACGATGGATGCACAAATACCCTTTGAGATCCTGCTTTCAGTTCTTAGGGGTATAATGCCCAGAAGCGAAAATGCTGGGTCATAGGGCAATTCTATTTCATTTTTTGAGGCGCTGCCATCCTATTTTCTGCAGTGGCTATACCAGTTTTATTCCCAACGAACAGGGCACAATGAAGTCCTTGCCGTTATTACTGTTGTTGACAGAGTGTGCACTAAGTGTCGGGCATCATGCTGCCTGCCAGGTAGAGATGCTACGGATGCTCCCATTGACACTCCCCATTCTGCACATGCTCATAGCTTCTTACTGCCCCTGAGCTGCTTGGCATGGGGCTCTCTAGCTGCACACAGGGCCGGTGGGAAGTGTGGGGCAGTAATGCTCCCAAGAGCAGCCCTGAGTCAGTGATGACCAGAGAATGGGCAAGTAAATAGCCCAACTTCTTTGCCCCTCAGGGGGACAACTATGAGGCCATCTCCCAGGTTCCCATCAGGCCTGACCCCAGCTGCCAACAGTGGTAACCTCATGAGTGCCCTGTATTGGCTTCCTTCTCTGTTTCACTTCTCCACATCCTGCTGGAACTTTCTGAGACCCCCTATTAAGTCAAGTGTTCTCGGTCTCATGCTCGTCTCAGGGTCTACTTTTAAGACAATGGGGTATTTTCTAGAATCCTCAAACAGTCCTCTAAACTGGGCAGATATGGCCTCCCCATTCTAGAGTGGAGCAGAATGAGACTCAGACAAGTGATGCCACCTGCTTGAGGTCAAAGCCTCTGCCTCTCCAAGGAATGTGCCCGATGGGCCCGCTGCAGGTCCTCTTCTCCCCTGCCCCTGAGCTGCGCTGAGCCTGCTTCCCCCCGCCCCCCGCCCCGCAGGAAGGCCGCTGTCTGTTTGTCATCCTGCTCATGGCTGTGTACTGGTGCACGGAGGCGCTGCCCCTCGCGGTGACGGCGCTGCTGCCCATCATCCTCTTCCCCTTCCTGGGTATCCTGAAGTCCAAAGACGTCTGCCCCCAGTACTTCGTGGACACCAACTTCCTCTTCCTCAGTGGTCTGATCATGGCCAGCGCCATCGAGGAGTGGAACCTGCACCGGAGAATCGCCCTCAAGATCCTCACGTTCGTTGGGGTCCGGCCGATCTGGTAAGGCCAGGTAACGGATCCAGCCCGAAGGTGGGGTGTTAGAGGGACCACATCTCTCGGAGCCCAAATTTACTCTTCCTTGTTACTCATCCAGGCTAACAAGCTCATGTCCCGCCTTCCACATACCTGTTCGACCCTCTTATATTTAACGAGCCCCTCTGTGTGGCAGACACAATGAGAGTTTTTAAATGTGCGCAAGCACCACTGGGAAATCGGTTGAAATGCTGGTTCCCAGGCTATGTCCCCAGGAATTTGTGTTCAGTCATTTTAGAAGGGGCCATTTAGCAGCATGAATTCTACCTTTCCTGCTCTGGGAAAGACTGAGCCTTTCTCTGTCTGCAAAATGGCGATACAAGAGCCGAGACCTGCACAGCAAATGCTGCCCACTAAGCATCCCAGTTTGGTGCTCACCAGCCAAGGAGAAGGGGAGGGTGGGGAATGGGGAGAAATGGCCTCAGAGAAGCAGGAGGCAGGGTCTGCTCCTACAGGCAGGTCCTCAGCCCCTGGCTAGGATTTGAATTTTTATTCTAAGAGGATTGAATGGCCTTTCAAAGAGGATCATTGTTGTTCTTTGCATCTCCCCCGCACCTCAATTTGGTGAATTTTAAATATTCCTTCGGGAATAATGTTTTTAAATCATAAAGCACAACACACGGGCTTTAAAACAACACTAAGCACAACAATTACAGCAAAAGGCAGTCACCCAAATACTTTTTTAAAACACATAAATCTATGATATTGCATCATATGTACGTTCCTCTTTCCAGTAAAAATGATAGGATATAACTACTGTCCTAACATCTATAGTTTTGTTTTATTTTTCTTTTCTTTTTAAAATTGATTTTTAGAGAGAGGGGGAGGGAGATAAAGAAGGAGAGAGAGAGAGAGAGAGAGAGAGAGAGAGAGAGAGAGAGAGAGAGACATAGTTGTGTTAGGGTTGTCGCTAGTGACTGGGGCTGTGAGAGAATTCACAACTGGGAGAAGAGATAGATACAAAGAGAAAGTTTATTTTACTTTCCCTGAAAGGTGAGGGCCAGGCCATTGCTAATCAATACAATGCCCAGGAAACAAAAGTGGCTTCCCCTTTTAAGCCCTAGCTGTTGCTAAGCAACAAGGAAGGGAGGGGAACCCTGAGCTGGAGTTGAGCAGAAGGTTGTGATTTGTTTGTTCTTCAGGAGACATTCCGGGCAGTTGTCCCAGGGAGGTGTCTTATCAGCATTTTCTCCAAACCTGCAAAACATGCTTAGAGTAAAGTTATGAAGAGTTCAGAAGAGGCTTTTTTGAACAGGAAAGGGGAAGGGAACTTTCTGCTAACTAGAGACTTCTTGATGCAAATTATCCCTGAGCTATAAAAACAGCAGGGAGGAGGGGTGTGCGAGAACAGAGCCTTGAAAGTAACTTATCTTGTCTTGCAGTTTGAATAGAGGGGCTGTGTAACTCAGAGGAGCTAACAGTCCTGGGGTGCTTTTCATAGATTGTGGAAGGCCACCGCACAGAGAAAGAGGCCTTTTCGTGTCCTCACACTCACAGTTTGCCTCCTGCACGTGCCCCAACGAGGGACAGAACCCACCACCTGGGTATGTACCCTGATCGGGAACCGAACCCACCACCTTTTGGTATACCAAATGATGCCCAACACTGGGCAGGGGTGAGGCCACAGCTGCAGTTTCCAGGCAGTTTTGAGTGTCAGTGATATTCCCAGAGGTCTGCACCTGTTTAGGCAGCAATGCCACATGACAGTATCCGTGATCTTCATTGGTGACCAAGGCACGTTGAACACCACAGAACTTGGTGGCCTCTGCTTATCACAGACGGGAAAAAATGTCTGTTAGATGTTAGCAAAATAAAGATGGATTTTTCTCCCTCCTTTTGACCCTGAATGATATCCATGGCCCCACCCTGATTATGAAACTCTATTTTAAAATGACCTAAGCTGGGGAGGGACATGATGAAATCTGCATTTAAAAAAATCTTCCCTGGCTGCCATGTGGCAAGCTGATGATCCGTTAGGAAACTGTGCTGGGAGTCCAGACCAAAGATGGTAACAGCATGGACTGGGTGGTGGCAGTGGAGATGAACAGAATGTGAGAACTCTCTTTGTGATGGGGGCGGTGGAAGGGTGAGAGTGAAGAAGGTTCTGGTTAACAAGTAAGTTTTTAGCATCTGCTTCTGGCCAAGCACTCTGCAGGCTCTAAAGCTGTGTTTCCACCTGGAGGAGCTGCAGTCCTGGGGAGAGATTCCATCTCTCATGGAATCTGATATGCAAGAAGCACAGGTGCTATGGGAGCCCACAGGAGAGGTAGGGGTCATGTCATGGGGGAGCTTACATTTGACCTTGAAGAACGGGCAGGGCTCTGGCAAACCTATTTTAAAGTTATGACAAGGTGACGCTAGTTCAGAAATAGTTTTTAAAACGGAACAGCTCTGGCTGGTTTGCTCATGATTAGAGTGTCGGCCCTCAGACCTAAAGATCTCAGGTTCGATTCCCAGTCAAGGGCATATACCTCAGTGTTGGGTTCCCCAGCCCCAGGAGGTACCCAAACACTATGTCTCTCTCATATTGATGTTTCTTTCTCTCTCTCTCCCCCCTCCTCCCTCCCTTATACTATCTCTAGAAATAAATGGAAAAAATATCCTCAGGTGAGGATTAAAAGAAACAAAACAACACAATAAATAATCTAGAAGAAATCTGAGTCAGTGGGGAAGGGACGAGTTATTCAGGAAATGGTGGGTGTTGAAATAATTAGCTTATACTTCCAAAAAAGATTGACTTCGAGTTAATGTCATACTATATATACATCTAAGTAACTCAAGGTGGATTAAAAGTTGAATGCAAGAAAACAAGTCACGGAACACAAATTCCTATTGGGAGGACCAAGCCATGGGAGGGAGGCGGAAGTGAGGGCCTGCCTGGGTGCTGGTGAGGAGTTGGCAGAGCCTGGGCAGGGGGGCCTGGGAAGAGTGGGAGGTAAAAGAGGAGGAGGCTGGGAAGGCTGTTTGGGGTGAGATGGTAGAAGGTCTTGGCAACTTTATTATACAGTGGGGGCCATCTGTACAATGAAGGGGCTGTATGCCTCCGGCGTGGCAAACTGGGACCAGACCCAGTTCCAGCTCTGCCTCCACCTCCCTCCATTCCCAGGCTCATCTTTGGAATGATGGTGAGCACCGCCTTCCTGTCCATGTGGCTGAGCAACACCGCCTCCACCGCCATGATGCTGCCCATCGCCAGCGCCATCCTGAAGAATCTCTTTGGTGAGGAGGAAGAGAGCACAGGTGAGGCTGCGGAAAGGGCCGGGCCAAGCCCACAGGTGGGGGAGGGAGTGGAGACATCCACCCACCGGGTGTCAGGGCAGGCAAAGAGAAGGCACTTCCTGGGGAGAGATTCCATCTCTTATGTGCCAAGTATTTTAATAATATAATAGTAATAATAATAGCCGAAACTGGTTTGGCTCAGTGGATAGAGCGTCGGTCTGTGGACTGAAAGGGCCCAGGTTCGATTCTAGTCAAGGGCATGTACATTGGTTGCGGGCACATCCCCGGTGGGGGGTGTGCAGAAGGCAGCTGGTCGATGTTTCTTTCTCATCGATGTTTCTAGCTTTCTATGCCTCTCCCTTCCTCTCTGTGAAAAATAAATAAAATATATTTAAAAATAGTAATAATAATAATAACTGAAAAATAACTACATCAAACTATGATACTTAAACATTAGCATTTTATTGAGAATTTATCACATATTAAGCAGAGTTAAACACTTTCCATACACTATTCCACCTCTCAAAACAGCTTTATGAAATAGGTACTATACTTAAACCCTTTAAAAATATAATCAGAGAGGAAGGGAGAGGGAGAGAGAGAGAGATAGGAACATCAATGATGAGAGAATCGTTGATCAGCAGCCTCCTGCACGCCCCACACTGGGGATCGAGCCCACAACCCGGGCATGTGCCTGACCAGGAATTGAAATGTGAGCTCCTGATTTGTAGGTCAACACTCAACAACTGAGCCACACTGGCCAGGCTAGACCTTTTTAAAAGCATTTGAAGAGATGCTTAAAATCGTTAATGCACAGAAAAAAATGCAACAATGGGGTTGACTTTGGTGAGACTGGCAAAAACTGAGGAAGCTGGATAATGCCAAGCATTGGCAGGAACGAGGGCCATTGGAATGCTGAGCACTGCTAGAGAAAGGGGAACTGGGTCGGTCTTTCTTAAGGGCGTCCTGCAAATATTTAACCAGGTTAAATAGGGTGGACCCCATTCAGAAGAATGGAAATGGAGGAAGAAATAAACAAAACAGGATAAATATAAAATAAAATAAAGCAGGTCACCCTACTTTCCAATAGCTGCTCTGGTATTCTGAACCCAGATTGGCTGATTGCAGAGCATATGTCCTGAACCTGTCGTTCTGCCCCCAACACAAGAGTTTTTCAAAGAGACTAGTGGCCAAAAGAAAGTTTGAAAGCCACGTCCCTTATTACAAAGATGAAACATCTGAGACCTGGGAAACGGGACTTGCCCAAGGTCATGCACAATGCTAGGCACACAGCGAAATTCTGTCTTTCCTCCAGTTTAGGCTGTAGTGTGTGAAGAGGTAGGAGACCCTGGGAGGTTGGGGCAGACCAGTGGGATCAGATTGTGGTTAACGATTAACCCTAGGATCTAAAGCGAAGCTCATTCCAGTGCAAAGCGAGATGCTCCCTTTCACCCAGTTGCTGTGTGAGATGAGGTGAGGTGAGGTGAGGTGAGGTGAGGTGAGGTGAGGTGAGGTGAGGTGAGGTGAGGATGGGGGTGGAGGGCATGGGGGTTGTGTTAGCGGGTCAGGACAGGGGCAAGGAGGCTCCAGGGGCTGTAAGTCCATGAGAGACAGTCAAGCAGCAACCACAATGAGAGTGTGCACTTTCATTTTCTGAAGACCCCCACATGCTAGACACTGTGCTAAAATCCTCACACCCATTAAATTCATTCATCATTAAATCTTCTTAGCAGTCCTATGAGTTAGATGATCCCCATTTTACAGATGAGGAGACTAAGACTCAGAAGCAAAGTGATTTGTCCAAAGTGACATGATGAGTTAGTCTGTGGTTGAGTGTCAACCTATGAACCAGGAGGTGGAGGCTCGATTCCAGTCAAGGTACATGCCAGGGTTGGGGGCTCAATCCCCAGTGCAGGGGCTGCAGGAAATGGCCAATCATATCTCTTTCCCTCTCCCTTTCTCTCTGAAATCAATAAAAATATATTTAAGAAAAAGAAAAAAAAAGAGAAGTGAATAGACCAGTTACTTAATTGTTCCAAGCCTCAGTTTCCTCCTAGATAAAGTGGGGATATTTATACCTACTGTCTAAGTTGCTGTGAGTGCTAATTGAACGAATGGATGTAAACCTGCCTCATCTGGGCCCTTTGGCTTTTCCTGGGGTTCTCTTTAATTCATGTGATGCAAGAACTCTTTCCTGCGGGGCTTCTGTGTTCCCAACGTCAAAGTTAGACTAGGGTGAACAGCTCCAGGTCAGACCTACCAAGGGCCAGGTGGGCACCTTCAGAGATGGAGGGAGACTCAAGGGAGTGGGCATGGGGTGAATCAATAGTCCTGGAACAAGCCTGCTGCTGCCACTAACCCTTCGGGTCATCTTGATCCCAACCCTCATCCACTTCTCCCGGCCTCCCTTTCCCTGGGTGTAAAGAGGGCGGTAAGAACCCCTGCCCAGCTCTCCCAGGCTGTTCGGAGGTTGCTGTAAGATACCTGCCCTGCCTGATACAAACTCAGGTATGGGTATTAGTTGAATAAGACCTTACATAAGCCCCAACCTCTAACCAGCCTTGTGTATAGCACGTACTGACATCGGGGCTCCCCAGCTCAGATGCTGGCAGTATCCAGGGTCTGTGGTTGAATGTCAGGGGCTGGGGGGACTGAGGTCAACTGGTGAACACACGCTCCCTCTGAGGGTGCGGGCAGCCTCAGGAGGCTTCAGTACCCCATCTGTAACTTCAGGGGAGTCAGCCCAGGCTTCCCAGAATAATCACCTGCAGAATTTTTCAAAAATATAGAGGCCCCAGAATCACTAAACCAGAACCTCCAGGGTGGGACTTAGGCACTCCCAGGAAATGCCACCATTTACCCCAGGGGTGCGGAGGGAAGGGTACAGAGAGAGCGAGAGGTGGGTGGGGATCTGGGGTCACTGGGTCAGAGTTCTCCCTGTCCGGCCATCCCCTGGGGTGCGACTTTGCCTCCCAGCATCTGTGTCCTATTAACAGCTTCGCTTCCTGCTTCAGTGCCCTGGCCTCTGGCCCCGTATTCCCATCACGGGAGCCCCTGGGCCCTTGCCCCCTTGGCTCGGGGCGAACTGATCTGCATTTCGCCTTCAGACCCTGGCCTGCAGTCAGCAGCGCTAGCCTCAGACACAGCAAAAATCGCACACAGCGAACTTCAGTCTTCCCTCTTATTCATGCGGCAGGGTCAGGAGGTAGGAGACCCTGGGAGGTTGGGCAGACGCCTGCTTGTGTGGGCAGTGGGATCAGACTGCTGGGGTTGGTTACTGATCAACCCCAAGACCTGGAACAAAGCTTATTCCAGTGCAGAGAGAGATGCTCCCTTTCACCCAGTTGCTGTGTTGTCTGTGGGGTGAGGTGAGGACAGGGGTGGAGGGAGCAGAGTGGAGGCTGTGTTAGCAGGCCAGGCCAGGGGCCAGGAGGCTCCGGGGGTTTCCAGTCCTGGTACAAACGGGAAAGGAGCAGCCCAGAGTGGAGAGAGGAAGGAACGTACTTCCCCCAGGTCCCTGGGGGAGACAGGAGAGAGCAGATGCGGGAGTCTAGACCCTTTTTTTCCCAGTCCCCATGGGCGAAGACCCAGGAAATGTATCTGTCGTAGAACAGGTTGAGTGTATTTCTGTTGCTGCAGGGAGGGAGGGCACACCTGGGACAGGCTTGATGGTCTCAGTGAGAGGGTGTGTGGAAGGACCTCTCCTAGGACTTGGGCTTTGGCAGGATCACGTGGAGGGGGATCTAAGGGAGCAGGGTTTGCTCTAGATCCTTTGTTGTCAGAAACCAGGGGCAGCTCAATGACTGGGTAAGGAAGGAGCCATTCGTTTAGCAAGAGTGGGGATGCTTGGCATTTGTGGGAGGCGAGTGGCTTTGTGCTGGGACAACGTTAGCATCCTTGCTTTGATTCACCACTGTAACAGTGACCTTGAGGCCAGTGACTTGTAAGATTCTTTAGGTCCAACAAGAGGACAACAGAATGTAGGTAGGCTTCAGGGGCTACTTTGATATTCTTTCTCAAGAGCAATCCGCATTAACTAACTCTTGGCAAACTTCAGCCCAGCAACTCTAGCCCACTACCTGTTTTTGTTTGTTTGTTTGTTTGTTTTTGTGGGTTGTTTTGTGTGTGTGTGTGTGTGTGTGTGTGTGAGTTAAAGAATTGACATATTTTTAAATGGTAGAAATAAATTGAAAGTAGGATATTTTGCGACATGTGAAAATTACATGAAATTCAAACTTCAGTGCCCCCAAAACAAAGGGTTAGCTCCACGTATTGTTTTACTTATCTGTGGCTGCTTCCATGATATGATGGCAGGGTTGAGTAGTTAACAACAGAGACCATATGGCTTTCAAAACCTAAAATATTTACCAATTGGCCTTTTACAGAAGAAATTTGCCAGTCCCTGCTTTAAATAGTACTTTAGTCCATCAGTTGCTATTAAAAAAAAAAAAAATCATAGATTGAGTATTTACTCCTCATAGTTCTAGAGGCTGATCAGGAGCCAGTGGATTTGGTGTCTAGTGAAATTCCACTTCCTGGTTCATAGATGACTGTCTTCTTGCTGTATCCTGACATGGTTGCAGGGGCAAAAGGGCTCGGTAGGTCTCTTTTATAAGGGCACTAATCCCATTCATGAGGGCTCCACCCTTATGACCTAATTACTTTCCAAAGCTCCACCTCTTAATACTATCCCATTGGGGATTAATTTTGGGGAGGGTACAAACATTCAATCTGTAGCAAATGGGTCAACTCAACCCTCTTGAAACTGCTAGGAAAATGACTACTTCCATGTTATGAATTAAAGAATTGAGGTACCGAGTGATAAGAGAAATCCAGGGTTTCTTAACCTCAGCATTATTGACATTATGGGTGGGATAATTCATTTTGGGGGGGGGGCTGGCTTGTGCATTGTAGGATATTTTGCAGCACTCCTGGCCTCTACCCACTAGATGCCAGTAGCACACCGCGCACCCCACTTGTGACAACCAAAAAGGTGTCCTGACATTGTCAGTGCCCATGGGAGGGAGAAGTGACCCCAGTGGAGAGCCACTGATCTGAGGTCACAGAGTAAATGATGAAGGTATGATGTGAACCCAGAACCCAGTCACATGCTCAATACCTAGGGATGGTTTCTTTTGCCCTGGGTGATGATTTCAGCAGCAAGAACTTTTAATCTCTTCCATTTTTCTTATCTATAAAACACTATCAAGCAAGGGATAGTTTTAAAACAGTCAGATCCTGTCCTGACTGCTCCAACACTCTTCTGCCTCTGTTCCCATGTGACTCAGAGGAGAAACCAAAGTTTTTACTGTGATCCCCAAGTCTCCTGTATGATCCAGCCCAGTTCCTGCTCCCCCTAACCCCCTTGCCACTTCTCTCACCTCACCTCCTACTCTTCCTCTTCTGCTCCCTCAGACCTCTCCAGTCCTGCTGGTCTTTCTTCTGCCTCTGAATACACCATCCTCCTCTCATCTTAGGGCCTTTGCACCTGCTCTTAACTTCCCCAGAGGTTTGCATGGCACAACCCTCACCTTCTTCAGGTGTCTGTTTGATGTTACTTTCTCAGTCATACTTTTCTTGACCATCCTTTACAAAGGTTGTCCGATCCCAGAATACCGGGCCCCTTCCCTGCTTTATTTTCTCCATGACACTAATTCCCACCTGACATACTGTATATTATACTTCTTTATGGTCTGTCTCCCTGACCAGAAGATAAGTTCCACAAGGACATAGATTTTCATGTCACTCAATGACATCATTAATGGGGTGATCAGCTAAGGCTCACATGACAATTCTGGTCCTGGGCTTCAAGTTGCACCAAGCTCTTGTTCAAGAATGGAAACGCCCTTACAACTTACTCTCAGCATTCTTATGGCCACTACCCTATTGCAATCATCATCATCTTACCTGGGAAGCACAATAGGTTCTGAACTGGTTTCCCAGCCTCCATGTTTGCTCCCCTATCGTCCATTGTCCCCTACCAGGTCCAGAGATGTTAGCAAAATGTCAACCACACGATATCCATCACGGGTTCTAAACCCTGCAAGGGTTCACCATCCTTGAGTTGACATCTGACTTCTGATGGCCTCTGTCTAACCCACTCCCACTCCCTATGTCCCTGAGGATTTCCCTACTCTCTCATTTCCCCGAACACTGGCCTTCTCATGGTTCCTCAGTTCTTCTAAGCTTCTTACCCAAGGGCCTTTACACATGCTGTTTCTGTTGCTTGAAACTCTCTTCTCAAGACTCTTCATGTGACTGGCTCCTTTGTATCCTTAAGGTCTCACTTCACAGGCCATCAGTGTATGGCGTCTCTCTGTTGATGGTTACAGTAGGCCACCTGCTCCCTCTCCCTACTCTGTCCTTACTTTCCATCACCTGGCCCAGTCTTATGTTATCCATCACTTTCCTCACTACCTGAAAGGTTCTTTCTGTGTTCCCTGTCTATCTCCCTTTCTAGAACATAAAGTTCATGGGAACAGGGTCCTTGTTGTATACTTTTCACTGTGTACTCCAAGCTCATAGTCAATAGCACATAGTAGGTGCTCAATAAATACTTTTTTGAGTGACTAAATGGGAGATTGGGGCCACCCATTCCATTGCTGACCCATTAACCCTCATAACTAGTCTTTCCCAAACATCCTTTTGGCAATGGCTGCTCAGGTAAGCCTAGACATGAGTTATGGGCTATCAAGCAGTCTTACAGCTAATTCCCTTCCTGCAAGTCTGGGGTCTCCAAATAAATAGCTAAGACAGGAAGATGGAATGTTGTATGGCTTTATTTATTTATTTATTTATTTATTTATTTATTTATTTGATTGAATGAATAGTACGGGATACTTGGCAAGGAGTGAACCCCAAAGAAGTACTCTTTTTTAAAAAATATATATTTTATTGATTTTATTTACAGAGAGGAGGAGAGAGGGATAGAGAGCTAGAAACATCAATGAGAGAGAAACATCGACCAGCTGCCTCTTGCACACCCCCTACCAGGGATGTGCCCGCAACCAATGTACATGCCCTTGACCGGAATCAAACCTGGGACCCTTCAGTCCGCAGACCGACGTTCTACCACTAAGCCTAATTGGTTTCGGCGAAGAAGTACTCTTGACTGCCTACAAAAGAATGGGCACACTCCTGTCCCATTCACATGACACTAAACTCATCATGCTTTCTTCTCCTAGTTGCTGTGGGGACAAAAGGCATGAACCCTGTGCCCATGGAGATGCAATTTCTTGCCAGAAGAGAAGAGTGAGTTCCTGGTAAAAATCATTGAGGTGCCAATTCTTGGTCCAAGGATATCATGCTCAGAGTTGCAAGCAACTTCCCTCCCATCTCTGAAAATTTCTCCAGATGACCTACCTGTCCAAGTTTCCACCTCTTGGTTATGCATAGATCTCCACCGAATCCTTAAAAATGCAAATGTGGTCGGGCAGAGGAATACATTAAATCCCAAGCGTTTCAGTGAGAGGAGGGTCTCCAGGGCAGGCCCAGAGGAGCAGAAGAGCACAAGCCACATGATAGTCAAGAAGGAGAGCAGGTGCAGATCAGGTCGAGAGACATCGAGGACAAAAACGCCCTATGAGACAAAATAATCGTGACTTATGTGATTCCAGAAGCCCCTTCAATCAATAGCATGCTCAGTCTTTGGTGTGCTTTGTGTGTAACAGTATGGGGTTTGGAGCCACACAGATCTGACCTTGAACGTGGGCTCTGCCACTTACCTGCTGTGTCATTTAACCGTTCTGAGCCTCAATTAAGTTCACTTAACAACTGGATATGATATCGGAACCCAACTTAAAGTGCTGTTTTGAGATTAAATGGAATAATATTGACAAAGCCAGCTGCGAGGCCCTGCATGCACGATAGTAGCTCTTGTTATTAATGGCCTTTGTTATCTTGATGTAATGGTGGTGGAACAGTAGGAAGTAAAGTGATTTGCTCTCAGCGTTACTGGGCATTGATCAGGTCTGTTTCATTCACAAGTAAAATCCATATATGTCCCATGGTTGTGAGTGTTATGCAGGAGAGTAAAGCAGTAAAGAGGCCAGCGCAGGGGCCTGGAGGTGGGAAAGGGCAGCTGTAGGATGGGCAGTCAGGGAAGGCCTCGCTGAGAAGGTCATGCTTGAGCAGAGCCCTGAAGGAGATGAGGGATCGTGGAGGATCGGTAGTGTTCTCAGCAGAGGGACCAGCAGGTGCAAAGTTTCTGGAAGTCCAAAGCAGTCAAGGAGCCTGTGAGCTTCCTGTGTGGTTGGCGTTGGGAGAGTGGATGGTAGGAGATAGTGTTAGAGAGACTGCCTGTATGGTGAGGGTGGTAATAGTGGGATGGAGCCTGTGGGACCTCATAGGCCACTGATGTAGCCTTGATTTTGACGGAGGGGAGCTGATGGAGGGATAGCAGAGAAGGAATAGGATGTTACATCTGATTGTTTCATCCCAGGGACTGTACTCCTTCCCAGCACCACTTGGGAGCTTTGAGGCCAGCTTTGAGATCATGGGTCATGTGATGGCCCAGCCACTCACTACTATGCCACCTGGGAATCAATGTTTACCTCCTGCCTATGAAGAGTTTGTGCTGAGTTATTGGAAAATACCTGATGCTACTCTCTGGAACACCATGTCCATTAGATGAAAACTCTATGTCCATTGGCTGCAAGCCCCATCCCCTCTCTGGGCCTCAGTTTCCCCATATAAATCAAGAAGGGTGAGCCATAGGGCCCTTTCTGCTCTCTCATTCTCACTGGGAGGCTCAGTGGGTTGGATTTCCAGATCTGAGAGGTCACAGTTCCCGACCAGGCCACTCACCTGAGAAGTCAGACCATGCACGACATGGTCTCCAGCTGCTTCCTTGTGTTCCTCTCAGACTTCAGATCCTGTCTTCATTGCCCACAGGAGATGGGGCCCCTCATGTAGCAATTAAAAGCAGACAGTGTTTTCTGGATCTTTTATTATCTAAAAATATTTGATTTGTTGCACAGGAGCAATTCTTAATTTCATTCACGTATAAACATTTTATAATTGCACAAGTCAAAAAAGAACAACACTCTTAAACAAAAAATATATTCGGCATCTCATTCCCATAGACAAGTTAAAACAGTTAAGCGAACACCAATCTAGATTATTTATTGATATCTCTTTATACATCCTACATACATACATTTTCTTAAATAAAAATGCTGACAATACTATACATGCTGTTTGGAAACTGTTATCTCACTTAATGGAGTGAAATGAACATCTTTTAACCTCAATCACATTTGTGTCAACATCATTAACTTTAAATTATATAATTAATAATTTTTAACTTTATTCTTTCCCAAAACTCTTCAACTGTGCAAGGAAAACAACCCAGAAAAATACAAATAGAGAAAAAGAATCCATAGTTTAACCCCTAAGAAAGATACCAAAATGAGTGCTTATTACTATTCTAAACTTCTCTTAAAACTCAAATATTCATGAAATAATGTGAATATGTTTAAATTAAAATAAAAATGAGTGCTGTTACCTATCTTTCCACTTTACATAATGGATATCTTTTTATCTTAATACACTCCTCTAAATCATAATTTTTAAATAACATCCAGAAAGGGGATCATCTTTATTTAGTAATCCCCTTTTGATGATGATTTATATTATTCTAAATTGAAATGATAAAAATTAAGTAACTAATTAATTAATTGAAATGGTATTTAACACCACGGTGAACTCTTGTACCCACACCTGAGACGTTTGCCCAATTATTCCTTTAGGACTGATTCTTAGAAGGGATCAGCTGGAGGGGTGCTCAGCTGTAGAGGGTTTGATGCCTGTGCCAAATCACCTTCCCAAAGAGCCACGGAGCTCTCCCAACCCCAGCAATGTGTGAGCTGTTTCATGTGAGCCCAGGATTGCTACGTGTGTGTTGATGGTGTCTCTTTGGATTTGTTTAAAGCAAAGACTTCTCCGAGGAGACTGAGGACCCGTTGCCTCTTCCAGACAGCAGCAAGAAGGCGGAAGAATATCGCAAAAACATCTGGAAGGGCCTCCTCATCTCCATCCCTTACGCAGCCAGCATCGGGGGCACGGCCACTCTCACCGGCACGGCTCCCAACCTCATCCTACTCGGTGGGATCAAGAGGTAAAACAAGTGTCCCCCACCTGCCCCTGGAGTGTCCTTCTCCTCTCCCCCGTCCTCCAGTTAACATCCAGGGGATGTATCTTGAGTGCCTTCTCTTGGCCAGGCTTCAGCATGGAACCCAGCAACGTCTCTGCCCTGTGGGGCTTTTATTCTGGTGGGGATATATGCAGTAAAGGAAAAAGCAAATGAATATGGGATATGCCCATGAGATAAATTGTGAAATAAAACAAAGCAGGATAAAGGGATAGAAGGAGTGAGTCGGTCACGGATGTATGACCTTTCTAATAAGATGACATTTGAGCAGAGGTCTAGAGGTGAGGGTGTGAACTGTGTGGACACAGAAGGAAAGCACCTTCCCGACAGAGGGGGTAGCCTGTGCAAAGGCGAATGGCATCAAGACCAGCTAGGCTGCGGTGTAGAAGGTGCAGGGGATTGTGGGAGGAGATTGGGTCAGAAGAAGCCAGACTAAGGCAGCTATTGTAAGGACCCAGTGGGGAGTCCGTGGAAAGCTGCGAGCAGAAGAGCAACAGGATGTGGCATGGCTTTAAAAAACTTCGCAGCCGGAGGCGTGGGTCTGTGGCTGTCCTGTCCCGGGAGACGCTTTGCAGCCATGCACGTAGGCCAGCGGGGCGGTGGGTTCTGCCTGGAGGTGAAGTTCCCTGTCTCTGAAACTGTTCCAGCAGAGGCCGGCGTGAGAATGAGAGACCGATTCTTCAGATAGCATGGCTTGTCGACTCCATCATTCCAATCTTAGTTCAAAGATTAAAAAAAAAAAAAAGCCTGTATTTCAGGATCCTAAGATGTTCAGATTCTAGGATTCTGAGAGGTTTTCAGATTCCTGCGCAGTGATGAGGCCTGGGTTGATTTAATCTTAAAACAAATGCCAACGCAAGCATCTGGCAGGCAGATAACAGTGCAAAGTCTGTGCTGTCCCACGTGGTCCCTCTGCTGACCAGCTTCTCTCCCTGCTGCTCAACCAAGGAGTCAGGGACCCGCTGGGAGGGTGAGGGAAAGCTGGCGTCGGTCTCCTGAGAGCTGCTCGGCATACACAAATCTGTTCTCTACTTGTGAGCAATTGAAATTATTTTTGTGAGAAATTTTAAGTACACTCCTGTTTTGCCTCACAAACTCATGTTAAAACCTTAAACCTCCACTCTATTATATCGGGTGCTTGAGTTTCTTGATGATATGATTTGATGGCAGAAACCATTGATTCTCAGCCAGTGGGTGCTTGTTGGAGTCACTGGGGGAGATGGAAAAATACACTGGGGCTCCGTTGCAGAGTGTGATTCAGGGGATGTGAGGTGGGCCAGGCGTCAGCATTTTGCCCATTGATGAAAGCCCGATGCAGACCTTTTCATCTCCATCCCTGAGCAAGACCTGGCTGGGCCTTCAGTTTGGGTTAGCAAACCAAGAGGGCCCTGTTTCAGACGTGGGAATGGCTGGGCTGGGCCCTATCGTCTCCTCAACCAGAAAAAGCTGGACAGAAAATATGTGGGTTCTGGGAGCCCCGAGGGCAGGTCCTGAGGTGGGGGATTCGGGCAATGGGTGGAGTGGCATTTGCTATCAGAGAAATTTCAGGCTGCCTGCCCATCCTGACGTGAGCAGAAATTTATCCCAGCTTTAAAAGAAATTAGGGAGTGCCCTATCGACCTGGCTCAATGGTTGAGCATTGAACTATGAACCAGGAAGTCATGGTTCGATACATGGTCAGGGAACGTGTCGGATTGTGGGCTCGAACTCCAGTAGGGGATGTGCAGGAGGCAGCGGGTTAGTGATTCTCTCTTATCATTGATGTTTCTCTCTTTCTCTCTCCCTTTTTCCCTAAAATTAATTTAAATTTTTTTCTTTTTTAAGAAATTAGGGAAGAAATGCTGGAGTTGTAAGTAAAAATATCAAATATGAAGGATTTGGAGTAAATATAAATTACATGGATGTCATTGGCAACATTTAATTGCTCAGGCTTGGACTTTCTGGTCTTGGAGGAGGGGATTTAGAAGGAATGCTAAGTAATATGGAGTTCTGATTCTCCAGCGGGGAGCCCAGGAGACAGGGCAATAGCTGCCCTGAGAGTTCTCCTGGGACTTTGTTTCCCACATTCATTTCATTAGTTTATTCTGATTACACATGTAATGGTGGGTATATTATAGAGCTCTTAGATAATATAGAAAAAATAAAAATTTGAAATACCTTTCATGCTACTGTGAATATTTAACAAAAATGCTTCTCATTTTTCTATGCGCGCGCGCGCACACACACACACACACACACACACCCCGGCATGGCTGTTCTTGGCTGGCTCTCACCTCCCTCTTTTCTCTAGTGCCTTCCCACAGAGCGACGTGGTGAATTTCGGCTCCTGGTTCATTTTCGCCTTACCTCTGATGGTGCTGTTCCTGTTGATTGCCTGGCTCTGGATCTCCTTCCTGTATGGGGGAATGTTCACAAGGTACCCCCTTCATGTTTAACTTGAGCTTTGAGCCAGACCAAGCTGTGTTTGACCCAGGTTCTTTCTCACTAGGGGATGGCTGCTTGAGTCTTGGTCTTCTGCATACACTGAGGATTGTCTTTATAATGTCATGTTATCTTCTCACTTGGTGACTGCAGTAGACCTCACTTCCCTACCATGTAGTATAGTGGGGTGGCATGTGGCCTGCCTGCTATGCCCAGACCCTCCGTTAATTCAGCCATCATCGATACTAAACCATTAATAAAAACAGTTTTATTTTCATAAATATTGTCAAGTTGTTCTCCAAAAGAATTGTACTAATTTGTTTTCCCATTTACCACATAAAAGAGTGTCTGTTACCATTCCGATACGAGAAAAGTAATTTGCTTTATTATTATATTGAGAGTAATTTTGAACTCCTTTTAACACTGAAGGGCAATATGAAGAATATATATATATATATATATATATATATATATATATATATATATATTAATATATTTTATTGATTTTTTTTTTTTACAGAGAGGAAGGGAGAGGGAAAGAGAGTTAGAAACATTGATCAGCTGCCTCCTGCACACTTCCAACTGGGGATGTGCCCACAACCAAGGTACATGCCCTTGTTCGGAATTGAACCTGGGACCTTTTAGTCCGCAGGCTGATGCTCTATCCACTGAGCCAAACCAGTTAGGGTAAGAGTTTTTATTTATTCATGGAGACCACTGTTAATTCACTTTCCTGTGAATTGCTAAACTGTGTGTTTATATTCTTTGTACATTTTTCAAATGGACTGTTCATGTTGGTTGTTCTTATTGATTTCTAGTACTCTATATATTGAAAGATTAATGATTATTCTGCAATATGAATTCCAAATATTTTTCTAATTTGCTTTTTACTTTGCTTGCAGTGCTTTCTTTCATGTAGAATTTTTGAGAAAATTTTACATAGACTATCAATCTTTTCTCATACGGCTCCTGAATTTTCCATTACAGTTAAAAGGGTCTTTCCATGAAAGAAGTTATATAAAAAAAAGTAATCGCCGTTTTCTTCTGATATTTTTAATATTTGTCACATTTAAATTCTGTTTTTTTAAAAATCTATTTTGAGTTTATTCTTAGGGTGCTGTGAGGTTTAAATTCATTGTCATTGTATCCATGACAAAAATCAATTGACCACAGATGTGTATAGGTTTATCTTTGAACTCTCAATTCTGTTCCACTGAACTATATGTCCAACACCATTGAGTGACTAGCCCATCTTTTGCATACCAATCTGTAATACCAACTTTATCACAGACTAAATCCCCATTTATATTTGGGTATATTTCTTGGCTTTCTATTTTATTCCATTGATTTGTATGTTTATTCATGTTTCTGTTTGATCCCCTAAAGAATCCCCTAGAAGTCAGATGATCAGGTTCACATTTTAAAAAGACCACCCAGCCAAAACTGGTTTGGCTCAGTGGATAGAGTGTCAGCCTGCAGACTGAAAGGCCCCAGTTTCGATTCCAGTCAAGGGCATATGCCTTGGTTGTGGGCACATCCCCTGGTAGGGGGTGTGCAGGAGGCAGCTAGTCGATATTTCTCTCTCATCGATGTTTCTAGCGCTCTCTTTTCTCTGTAAAAAAATCAATAAAATATATTTTTAATAAATAAATAAAAAGACCACTCAGGCTATAGGTGGGGAGAACAGCTTTTAGGAAGGGAAGACAGAGGGAGCCCACCAGGCCACTGCAGTTTCCAGAACAGAGACAGTGAGGCCAGGCCAGGTGGTGGTGGGCTGGGGTGAAGCTACTCACCCTTGCCGTAGCCACTCCTGACTTCTCTCCTTTGTTTCAGGGGCTGGAAGAAGGACATGGCAGCCAATGCTACCGGAGAAGATAGGGCTCGTGCTATGATTCGAGAGGAATACGAGAATCTGGGGCACATGGTGTGAGCGATCCAGGGGCCCACGGGGAGGAGAGAAAACTGGGCGTTAGACTTTCAGGAAGGTTACCTCTTGGTCCGGTCCCTAGGTCCCTGGGGGCTGAGTCCCAGGGGAATATCAGGACCGATGGCCTGAAGTGGGGTCCTGGAGATGAAGGGGAGAAAGGTGGCATACACAGTCACCTCTTGCCCTGGCGCTGGAGTAGATACCCTGAAGACTAGGAAGCTCCTCAGGATGTATGTACTTGGGGTGGGGACTTGCCTCTTTCCTGCCAAATGCACCTTTTCCCTCCTTGTACCTGCGATACTCAGCATTGCTTTGGGCAGCTTCCAGGACCTTGTTTAATGTATGTATTTCCTGTGGAAGCAATAACTCGGAGTCACCAGGCTTGCCCCCAAGGGCTGACGCTGCCACTCACTTCCTGTGTGACCTTGGGCAAGGCACTAACCCTCTCTGGGCTCTGTTCCCCAATCTGTGAAATGGGCACATTACCCCCAACATTTGAAGACTCTCTCGCTTCCTACTACTCTTCACGTCTGTCCCTTTCTGTGTCTGTCCCACTCTGTTTATGTTCATCCCTGCGTGTGACTCTTTGCCTACCTCTCAGTCTGTTTCCTGTCTATCTGTCTTTCTATTCTCTCTTTTTTACTCTTTCTCTCTGTCTCTGGATTCTCCCTAGGACTCTGGGATACTCCCAGTAAAAATTATGTATTTAGTTTTGGTGAGAGGGCTGCTGGATACGTAGGAAGGACCCTGGTGAGTGTGGTAGCCCTAGGCAGGAACCACTCCCACCATGGAGCAGCCCTCTCCTCACACTGAGAGCTTCCTGGGGCGTGAACTCCTTCTTTCAGTTTCTCAGAGGCAGAGTCTGGGCCCCATCCCACTGTGGGCCCCTGCACCCACGGTCACCATGTGCCTGCATATCTACACCACAGGTTTGCCGAACGGGCCGTCTTCATCCTTTTCTGCCTGTTCGCCATCCTCCTCTTCTTCCGGGACCCGAAGTTCATCCCTGGCTGGTCTAATCTCTTCAAACCTGGGTGAGCCTCTGGGGACCCCTGGACAGAGTCCAACAGGGAAGACGCTGGGATGGGCCACGCGGAGCCAGAGAGGCAGTGAGCAGCGGGGACGTGGGCTAGGTTCATGCCTCCAGTCCCTGACCATTATTAATGGCTCCTTCTTTTGCTCTCAAAAGAGTCTTGGTTTGGATGATAAGACATCTGAGTCCTCATGTATTAAGAGCTTTGTCTTTGAAATCAGACAAAACTGGGTTTCATGGGCAGCTCTGTCACTTACCAATTGTGCAACCCCAATCCTGTCATTCATTCATTCATGCAAGCATGCGCTCAGTCAGCATTTTTTGAGAGCCTACTATGTGCTAAGCATTATGCTAGATGCTGGGGACACAGACAAAGACAAGTAGTTAGGCAACAAAATAACATTGTAAATGAGTGCAATGAAAGAGTGAGAGGGTGAAGTTATAGGAGAGTGGAGTGGGGGCCTTGGATAGTTCTGGGAAGAATCGAAGCTGGAGAGAGTGGAGATAAACCTGGAGGCACACTAGGCATGTCTATGAGAGCCTGAGGTAGGAACCAGCTTAGGACACTTGAAGCCCAGTGTGACCAATACCGGATGGGAAGGGAGGAAAGTGGGCAAGACCTGCTGGAGGGGAAGGTGAGGGCCAGACCGTGGAGGTCTTGTTGGACATGCTAAGCATTTCGGTATTTTTTAGTAGGAGTCATGGGAAGCCATAGGAGGGTTTTACGTTACTTAACCTCTCTGCCACAGCCTCCTCATCTGTGAAATGGTATAATAACAGTACACTTCTCACTGGATTGTTCTGAGGATAAATGAGCTAATACATGTCAAATGATTAAAATTGCTTATAGGAAGAACTCAGTAAAACATTAATGACATTCGGTTCTTTGGGGGCAAAAATACAGGTCAGAGAACAGGTAGGAGCTGTGACACCACCCACATGGCCCCTGTCATCTGAGACAGGGGTCGGTAAACAAGGCATATGAACCAAACCTGTCCCACCCTTGTTTTTGAATGGTTTTTACATTTTTAAATGGCTAGGGAAAGTCAAACGACAATGCAGGATGGGACAAAAGTAGTTTTATAGTTGTGAGTAAGCAAAACACAGAATTTATTCTTGTATTATTATTTAGGCCTTCCTTCCCCCGGTTGCCAGCACTGGCTTCCCTCTGGCACCTGGGACCCAGGCGCAGCCCTGGCTTCATCCAGAAGGTTGTCTGGAAGGATGTCCAGTCTAATTAGCATATCATGCTTTTATTATTATAGATTATTGTATTATCTTCCATACGAACAACTGTAAACCTGCTTTTATTAGGTTTACTTTTATTGTATTATCTTCCATATGAACAACTGTAAACCCCACCCTGTATTTTGTGGCACATGAAAATTATATGAAACTCAAAAGTCAGTGTCTATAAATAAAGTTCTGTTGGACCACAGCCATACCTATTTACTTAGATTCTGTCTACAGTGGCTTTCATGCTATGATGTCAAAGCTGAGCCATGACAGAAACCACATGGTCTGCAGAGCCAAAAGTAGTTATTGTGTGGCCTTTTATAGAAGACACCTATGGACCCCAATCTAGGTGAAGGCTTGAATGGCTTGAATGAAACAAAGAAAGTGAAAGTCACCTGGAATCTTTGTCTCCAGATCTGATGGACACCCTTTCTGACTTAAAAAGAATGCCTCTCTGAAAACCATTCCCCAACTTTATTGGATTGGTGGCTATAAAACTGTACATTAGGCTAACTTCACTTAACTGTATCCTTAAAATGGGTGCATTCTATTCCATGTTCAGTATATATTTCAGTAAAACTAATTTTTAAAACACAAGCAAACAGACTAAAAAGAAACCTATCTAAACACGACTTATTTTTGTGTGACAGAAATGTGATTACAGTGAACATATTGTTTGTGATCTGCTGTTTTTTATCTCATGATAAAAGTTACGTTTACTCATTATAAAACATTCAAGCAAGGCTGAAGTGAAAAAGTAAAATTTAGTTGCCCTTCATCTTCCCTCTGTCCCTCTCCCCAGTGATATTCACAATTAAAGTCGGTGTGTAATGTTTCAGATACACACACACACACACACATTAATACACACACACAGACATATAACAAATATTGGAAAATATTATAATAGGGTCATGGACAATTTGCTATTTCATTCTTCTTATTAAATATTTTTATTGAATTTATTGATTTCAGAGAGGAAGGCTGAGGGAGAGAAAGAAACATCAATGATGAGAGAGGATCATCAATTGGCTGCCTCCTGCATACCCCCTACTGGGGATCAAGCCTGCATTCTGGGCATGTGCCCTGACTGGAAATTGAACTGTGACCTCCTGGTTCATAGGTCTATGCTTAACCACTGAGCCACAGTGGCAGGGATATTTCATTCTTTTTAAACACTGCACAGTATTCTATAGAACGGGAGTATCTTCATTTAGTTTATTAATTCCTTTTGGATTGTGTCCAATACTTCAAATAAAAACTTATTTATTTATGAGGTTTCTTGGTTGTATGTCTATACATAAAAATTGATATTATCTCATATATTAAAAAAAGATGTAGGGTATTTCATTATATACATACTATATATATTATTAAAAAACACTTTATTTAAACATGTCTCTACTAAGCATCTTCTATTTTTCATTCTTATCAAATGAACATCTCTGTACATAATCTGTGTACAAGAGTCCAGTTATTTCCTGAGGGTAAATTCCTAGAAGTATAATAACTGGATCGAGGGGTATTCACATGTAAAGCATTGAAGCATGATGCCAGCTGCCCTCTGAAGGTTAAACATTTATTTTCCCACCAGCCCTATATGTTTTCCAACACCCTCATTCGGTATTACCTCCCTTTTCAAGTTTGCCTGTCTGTCCGCAGAGGTAAAAACAGAATAGTGCTCCATAAGTGTTTTGATTTATATTTCTCTAGTGGAGTGATATTGACCATCGTTTCCAATTTCTTGGCCATTTGAATACGCTTCTTCTAAAATGTGCGGGCTGAAAATGCTTTTGTTAGTAGTTGGCTCTGAGCTTCTTTGAACTTGGAAAATCTGGATTCAGTACCCATCTCCTCATAGACCATGGTCTGGCCTTGAGCAACTCGCTCTGCTCTCTGAGCCTTGGATTCCTCCTCTGAAATGGAAGAGGCCTGTCCCAGGCTTCTGAGAGCTTAGCCCCTCCTCCACCAGACACCTTGTGGGACCTTGAAAGGTGGTCATTAGGTTTTGCTGTTCAGGGCTGGGAAGCTGGCTCCATCTGGGCTGCGCTGATGTGAGTGAACTGCATGTCCATGTTGTAAGCCGCCCATCCTAGGAGGAATGGAAACAAGCTGAACAAATACGGAGCTGCTCCAGGAACCCTGGTTAAAGTGATCCATGGGGGTTCCACAGACCTCAGGATTCTGTGGCTCTCAGATTCTTCCCTCCTTGGTCAAGTCCCTTTGTCTCGTGTCCTTTGAGTCGGGAGGAAAAGTATTTGTTTGGCTCAAGCTGGATCTAAAAGCCCCCGGGAGGGCTGTGGGCAAAGGGCTTTTGCATCGGGTGGTTGCATCCGTGCTGAGTTCAGTGCAGGGCAGAATCCAGAGGCCTCTGACAAGGCCCCTTCACAGTGGCCCTGATCCCCTCCCACAGATCGTCACCCTAGTAAAGCTGCCAAGCCTTGGCCTGCTGAGATGCCCAGGGTCACGTGATTCAAGGCCTTGTCTGTCCTTGCAGGTATACTTCCGATGCTGTAACCGGCGTGAGCATAGTCACCATCTTGTTTTTCTTCCCATCCAAAAGGCCCTCTCTCAAGTGGTGGTGTGACTTTAAAGGTAAGGTGGCCAGGACTGTGGTGCTGGTGAGCCCAGTGAGTTTTGTGGCGTGGAGCGTGGTAATCAGTGGCCCGAGGTGGGCCCCACACCTGGGACATCAGAGCCCTACTGTATGATCACGAGCCACCCTGAGTCTTCTCCATCCCCTGGTCCCCGTTCCCTGTCTGAGCAGCTACCTTGTCTGGGCACCTAGGGCTTCTGGAAGCAACTAGATACATACAGTCCCCGGACCAAATCCGGCTGCCTGTCTGTTTTTGTACAACCCAGGAGCTAAGAATGGCTCTCAGATTTTTAAATGGTTGAAAAGAACCAAGAGAAAAATATGACACACAAACATGACATGAAATTCAAATGTCAGTGTCCTGGATTCTTGGGAACTGGCTTTCCCGAGTGGGTCCCTTAGACCCTTCTCGCCTCTGGCTTCCTCGTTTACAGAACGGGCATTGCAGACTCAAATGCCTACAGGGAGGTGACAGTAACGGAGGCGGCGGACTGGGTGCAGGGCAATGTGTTTCAGAAAACAAGGCCCTCCCTGTTCATCATTCCTCACGTGTCTGAAACGGAAAACGGTTTCTGTGTTACATGAGAATAGCAGCCGAGGGTGACAGCAAGTGCCCAGGCCCCGTGGACAATAGGGATGCCCGTTCATGCATGTTTGGTCCATGGCTGCTTTGTGCCATCACGGCATCCCAGTTGCAACAGAGGCTGCAAAGCCTAAGTTATCCAGTCCCTAACCCTTCACAGAAGTGTGCTGACCCCTGTCCTAGCACACCATCCCCACTCTTCCCCATTTCTCTCCTGCCTTTGAACATAGAAACCATCCCATAGTTCCATGGGCCAAAGATTCCCATTGTGTTTCTTCTCTCCTAAATATCCTTCCTCTGTCTTTGCTCCCTGTGTACATCCACTTACAAAGAGACCCTTTGGTCCTGAGTGCGGATGGACCGGGAGAGGCGGACCGGGTGTCCTGAGCGTGGAGGCCTGCTTCAGGGCATCCTCCCGCTGCGGGGCCTCACTGTTTTCATTCTGAATAGAGCAGGTGCCATACCACGATGCTGTGGGTTTCCCCCTAAAGCTCTAAAGTCTGATATGGAGCCGGATCGTGGCTTCTTGGAGAACCCCGAGGACCCGCCACAAGGATGGGCCTGCAGGGACCACGCCTCAGAGTGAGTATCTTCTCTCTCTGCCCAGCTTCCAACACAGAGATCAAACCCCTGCTGACGTGGAAGAGGGCGGAGGAAACCATCCCCTGGAGCATCATCCTTCTCCTGGGAGGGGGCTTCTCCATGGCCAAGGCCTGCGAGGTAAGATCGGCAGGAGGGCGGCACGCCGGGGAGGCGGGCGCAGGACCCAGTCCCAGCTGCAGGCTCCATGGGCCCTGCAGACACCACCTCCTTTGCCCATTAGGAGAATCATAGTTCCCATCGCAGTGCCCGGTGCTGAGGGGAAAGGCAGGAATAAGGTCTGATCTGGAACCTCAAGGAGCTCACAGTGGACTCAGTACTATTACTGGAGCCAATAACATCACGACTCGGTTCTGTGAGCACAGGGAAACACCGCCACACACAGTGCTCGCCTTGTCCAAGGCGCCTTACACACAGTAACTGATTTAAACTTCCCAACATGAGATACATGCCATCATTATTCCCATTCTAGAGATTAGGAAATGGAGGCACAGAGAGGTAAAGTCACTTGCCCAAGATCACACAACTGTGTGCCTTCGTGTCCTCGTCTACAAAATTGGAATACAAATGGATCCCATCTCACCTGGCCAGTAGCTCAGTTGGTTGGAGCATCGTCCCAATACATCAAGGTTGTAGGTTCAATATCCAGGCAGAGTAAATACAAGAAGCAACCAGTGAGTGCGTAAATAATTGGAACAACAGATTGGTCTCTGTCTCTCTCTCAAAAAAAATTTTTTTTTTAATTAAAAAAAATTTTTTTAGATCTAGTCAGTTTGGCTCAGTGGATAGAGTGTTGGCTTGTGGACTGAAGGGGCCCGGGTTTGATTCCAGTCAAGGGCATATGCCCAGGTTGTGCGCTTGATCCTAAGTGGGGGGTGTGCAGGAGGCAGCTGATCAATCGTTCTCTCTCATCATTGATGTTTCTATCTCTCTGTCTCCCTTCCTCTCTGAAATAAATAAAACTAAAAAAAAACAAAAAACAAAAACAAAAAAAAAAAAACACCCATGCACATATGGGTTCCATCTCATAGAGTTGCTGCAATTATTAAATGAGTCTATTCGTATGGAGAACTTAGAACATGGTCAACACAGCTGGTTATTATGAGTGGATGTTGGGAAAGAGGGGATTCAGGGTCAAGGATGACACAGAGGTTCTCGCCCCGAGCAACTCAGTGGAAATAGATCTTTTCACTGAGATGCACCTATTCTGACTGAGGGAGGAGGCGGGGGTGACCCCATGCCCCAGAGGCTTCTCTGAGTTCAGAGCTGGTGGGTAAAGCCTGGCTCTCAGTGGGGGCTGGGCTGCAGGATCGCTGAGCATGCTGGGAGGCCAGTCTGGCCCCTGGCCTGGCCCCTGGCCCCTGGCAGCAGGCTGGGGTTTCTGTTCAAGGAGGGCTTTGTGTAGCAGCTGCCCCTTTCCCCAGCTCCTGCTGGCTCCATTCCCGCCCCAGGCAGCACAGTCTGCCCCGGAGGGACCAGAATGCTCACTGCACTTCCTGCTCCCTTGTCCCTGCCCAGTGCCCTTGCCAGGCCACCGTGGCCTCCTGTAACTTAGAGGCCTTGGATGGGACCCAGGGTGAGTCTGGCTGTGTGGACTCCCACATGCTGGTTCCGAAGGGGTGGAATCAGATCCCAGGGCTTACTCTGAACTTGGGCAACTCGCTTACACCTCCTTAATGTCCTCACCAGCTTTCTCCTGCTTCACACTAAATCCGTGGCGCCCCCTGAATTTAGACCCCAGGCTGAAGGCTCCCACCGGCCTGTACACAAACCCCGTCAGCTCCCATCTGTCTCCTCTCATCCGCTCCACTCCAGGCCCACTGCCTCCTCAGCCTTCCTCAGCCACACCCACACCGTGTTCATTCACACCCAGGACCTCTGCGTGGCTTTCTCTCCACTGGTTGCTCCCTCCCTTTCCCCCCACCCTCAACCCACCAGGCGCTCTGAGATCTCAAGAGTCCTCACTTTTCAGGTCTCAGCTCCAAGGTCACCGCCACAGACACAGCCTCTCTCCCACTTACAACTCGGCTCACTCGGCATCTACCCTGCACATGATCCTGATTACTTGTTTGTTTACCAGTGTCTCTCTTGCTAGAATATAAACAAGAATCATATCTGTCTTATCTGTGTGTCCCCTGCTCACTGAGTAAACATTAGCTGGACAGGACCCAGCCAATGGGCTGTTTTAAGGACAGATGACAAGATGGATGTATGGAATGTGCCCAGAGAGGGATGATGAATACCTACCTGGTGCTAAAAAGAGGGCCACTGTCATCCTCATCATTTTTATTGTTATTATAATCTTACTGACTCGTAGATAAAAACCTGGCCTGACCCTGGCACCTATGTGTATAGTGGGCAACTTTTAGTCTCCACCACAACAAACTTCTCGCCAAATATATTGAGGGGATTGAGGCTCCATCCCCTCAGAGCTTATGGAAAAGCAGTGTGCTGTGTTCTCGAATCCATTATGAAATTTCAAGTTCGGGATCAGCAGTAAATTTTCTATTAAACATAAAATAAATGTATATAGTTTCTTTGATAAAGAAAGTGTATTGATACCAGATGACAATGGGTTGATTAAAAGGCTATGGTAGACATACACTTGATTCTAAAAGACACGGGATTAACCCAACTCTGCCTTGGCCAACATCTAAGCCTATGGTCTTATCTTTATTAAAAACAAAAACAAAAACAAAAACAAAAACAAAAACAAAAACAAAAAAAAAACGGACCTGCCAGACAAGACCTGGTAGGTTTTTGTGTGTGTGTGTGTTTTTTTTTGTTGTTTTTTTTTAAGATTATGCTGCATAGCACCACCAGGGGGCACAAGAGAGCACAGTTTTACATCTTCAGTTTTGCTGCCTTGGGATCTTAAGGAAGGTGTGTTGGAACCCTGGTAGTTTAGGATACATTGATGAGAGGAGGGAGCAGCGGGGAGAGTATACATATTATACACTCGTAAATGGAGTGATTCCCGGAGAAGTCCTGGGAAGAGCATGGAGATGACTCTGCAGTATGGACGGCAGGGTGGTGTCTGGGGCCAGGGAGGGAACCATCTAACAGGTCCTTCCCCTGTCCTGTTGGGCTCTGGGTCTCCCTTGGGCACTGCTCTTCACTAAGAGGGGCAGTGACAGACAGTGTTCCCCGAGGGAGTTTTGCAGGTGTGTATTAGCTTGCAGCAGTACATGGCTCTACATGTGAAATACATCCCTGCCATTAATTACATTTGGCAACGGTGGATGTCACAAACACTTTGCCAGGCTCATATTGCTCCTCTGTAACACAGGGTCAAATGTCCACCTCATGGGATGGTTGGGAAGACTCAGGGAGCTAATGTATGCAGGGGCCTCATACCCTATAGAGCCACATTAATGGGGATTGCTATGATAATGAACAATACAATGTTAACAGCACTGATATTTGGGTGATTATTGTAATAAACATCCTTTTTATTGATCATAAATATCTACTATTTATAATCACATTGGCAGTGTCATATTTAACATGTATTTGATACATGTTTTATATTACATGTGATATAGAGTATATCGTCTATATGTTATTATACATTTGATGCCTATTAACGTATCACAATCACAAGATTAATGTTTTGTGCATCACTTAGGTTCCTATCATTTTAATTAATAACTGTCACTGGAGGGATGAGGAGATTTATCCTGGAGGAGCCAATTCCCCTCTCCCATTCAAGTTGGAGCTGAGGGTGCTAGACCCAGATGAATTGTTGGAGAACCAGATGGGTTTTTTGAGGGTCCGAGGCTCTGTGTCCGGCCTATAGCGTACAAAATAGAGAAGAGCTCAAGAAGCTGAGAAGCTCATTCAAGCCCAGGCTCCTGTGTGACCTTGGACATGTTCCATGTCCCTCACCATGCTGACCCCCAGACTCCCCATCGGATAATCATCATCATTGTGATTGATCCCCATCCTCCCGGGGCCCAGCCCTCAGGGGTGGCACTGGGGTGGGCTGGGTGTGAAGAGGTGCCCTCCCCTCCGTACCCCCTCCCCCCTTGCAGCAGTCCGGGCTGTCATTGTGGATCAGCGACCAGCTGCACCCCCTGGAGAACGTGTCGCCCACGCTGGCCGTCTTCACCATCACCTTCGTCGTCATCTTCTTCACCGAGTTTGCCAGCAACACGGCCACCATCATCATCTTCTTGCCCGTCATGGCAGAGCTGGTGAGGGCCCTTTGGGAAGCGGGGGAGGCAAGGAGGGGCCCCTGTCCCTCTCCCCTGCTGCAGGGTCTCCCTCAGGCAGCCCCAGGAGTCACTACTCTCTTCTGAAATGTGTGAACATGTCAGAACCCAGATTCAAAACAAACCTGTGGGGGTTTTTATTTCTTTCTTTTTTTTTTTTTTAAATGCATAATCAAAGTCAACATGTTTAAAGTGACCACATGCCCTCTTTGGGAAGTTTTCTAGGAAGCTAGCATGACCAGATTTGGATTAAGCAGAAGTAGAAAGTCTGACTAGTCCAATAACCACAGAGGAACTCTAGCAAAGCTCTAGCCTCCCTATAAAGCCGGGCTCCTTGGCACCACTGACAAGCTGGGTAAGTGGTGGGGACAGCCCTGTGCACAGCGGGGTCCTTAGTGGCACCCCTAGCCAGCCCCTGCCCGCTAGTACCAATAGCGCCCCTTCTAAATCGTGGCCATCACACATGTGTTCAGACATGGCCAAGAGTCGCCTAGAGGGACACAGTCAGCCCCGGCTGAGAACCCGTCCTGGAGAGCCGGCGAGGTGAGAGCCGGAGCCTTCAAGAGCAGATAGTCCTGGATTTGCCCAAAGTGTCTGAGCACAGACAGGCAGAGAAAGCCAACCCATCCAGGCGTCAGGTTAGCATGACCCCGAAATCAAACACACACGAGGGGAGAAAGATGTCCTACCTCGACCTCGTGTGCAAATAAAGATGCAAATAGCAAAATGAATCCAGGGTCATAGGCCAAGAACAACATATCACCGAGGACAAGAAGAGTTTACACTCGGGATTTCAAAACTGGTTACCCTGAGTTTTACGTTTGAACAGATTAAAGAGGTGTTATTACCTCAGCGTAACCCCGAATCTACAAATCTATGGAATCAAGTCCGTGTTGCAAGTAGAGCATATGCTTTGTATGCAAACAGGGTCATACCAGGCACTCGTGGGAGCCACTTTGTTTTTCTTTGCTTGTTTATGCATCAATGATAATAGCAAAGGACACATTCTTCCAAATGGTACTTATCATCAAAATCAAAGCATCTGACACACAATAGCACATTTTAAGAAAACACATATTCTCTAGGTTGCAAAAATCCCCTGAGGGACCCACGATGTCCTATCTTAAAGTAAAATGCCGGAGAAGTAATCAACATGAGTTTATGTAGGTGAACAGGTCATTGGAGAGAGGTGAAGAACCAGGGGCCCACTGACTGAGGCCAACGCACAGACACGTTTGATCCCCCCCCCCCCCCCCCCCCCCGTTTTAGAAGTTTGGAAATGTTTGCCAACAGCGGCCATCTTGAGCTCTCCTTATCCCTGAAATCCAGTGAGGCCCCGACCCCAAGGGGCCCAGAGTCCAGCTGTTAGAACTAGGTAGAGGGCTTGTTATTTTAGAGCATCTGCTTCCCCTGGGACCTTGTCAGACATGCAGATTCTGGGGGCCACCCTAGGCCTACTGAGCCAGCAGCTCTGGGTGAGTGGGGGGGCCAGCCGGCTGAGCTTTAACAAGCCTCGGGGGACTCCTGCGCACTCAGGTTGGAGGAGTGTCCTCGGTGCATCTCCCCAGCCCAGCCTCCCTGCTGATCCTGCAGTGTGGCCTCCCACGTCACTAACCTTGAGCATGTCTTCTCCATCTCTCCCTTGGTCTGGCTCTCGTCTTCTGTTCATCTCCATGTGTCGTATCCTTCATTTCTGTGTGTTTGTATTTCTGGCTTCTCATTGACTCTACATCTGTCTTCTCACTTGTCTCAACTGCTCACTCTCACTCTGCCTTTCTCTATCCATGTGTCTTTGCCTCTCTGTCTCTAAATCTGTCTCCGTGTTGCTCTCCCTCCATCTTGACCTCTTTCATCTCGGTCTCACCACGCCCTCCGGAGCCCAGGCCATCCGCCTGCACGTGCACCCCCTGTACCTGATGATCCCGGCCACAGTGGGCTGCTCCTACGCCTTCATGCTCCCCGTCTCCACGCCCCCCAACTCAATTGCCTTCGCCTCCGGACACCTGCTGGTCAAAGACATGGTGAGCCTGGGCATCTTCTTCTTTTTTTAAAAAAAATAAGTTTTTATAGATGTCAGAGAGAAAGGAAAGAAGGCAGACATAGAAACATCCATGAGAGTGAAGCATTAACATCAACGGGCTGCCTGCTGCATGCCCCCTGCTGGGGATGGCGCCCACAACCCAGGCATCGAACCAGGGACCTCTCGGTGCATGGGCTGATGCTCAGTCACGGAACACCACTGGCTGGGCACGTCTGGGCATTTTCTAGCAGCACCCAGAGAGGTGGGTGGACACTGGTGGTCGGCTGGGCATCTGGGCAGGGTCCTGCTCCCCCAGCCACCATCCCCCAATTTCTGCATAAGTCATTCCGGGCAAACACTCTGTTTAGACAACTTCAGGAAACTGCTTAAGTGACTGATTTCCAGCATTTGCTTTGGGGACAAGGGACTTTCCCCTCTGTTCTTGTTTGTCGGGCCAACGGCACTGTGCCCAGAATCTGCAGGGAAGAGAAATGTGAGGGATTTGGGTGGCCTCGATGCCTGGCCAGCTGAGGAGTGTGACAGGAGCCCCCAGAGTTGTGGCAAGGGTGGGGGTGGAGGGACTCCAGCTTTCGGCAGGGCTCAACTATGGGGCAGTATGTTCCCTCACCCCTATGATCCCTACTAAGCCCGCCCCTCCCACCCTCTCCCCTCCTCTCACCTCCTGCTGCCTCTTCCCCCTCCACCCCCACCTGGGCCTGGGGCATTTGGATGCTCAGAATGCAAATAACTCTCCCTAAACTGGTGCAACCCCAGGGGCATTGTGCTTAACCAGTTCAGGAAGCTGGTCCAGGCTCAGGGGCTCAGCGGGGTAAGGGCCCGAGAAGCAGAGTGAGAGGCGGAAAGCTGGGAAGGCGAACCCAGAGCTAACAGTAACACACAGGTGTTAGTTAATTTATTAACTAGAGTGGAACTAAGCAGGCATTCGGAGCCAGCCTCCCAGGACCCTGACAAGGGAAGACCCCACCCTCCTCCCAGCTCCCCCAAAGCTTTGGTCGGCTCCTTCTAAGCCTCCACACCTGCCAGGGGCTTTAGGATCCCTAGAACCGAGGCAGCCAGCACAGCGGTTTCCCGACCAACTCCCATTCCATGAATCATCTGGGGAAATATTCATTTCACAAGTTTACTAAATTAACTTACATTTTTTAAAAACTTAAATAAGAGCCCTAGACAGTGTTGCTCAGTGGTTGGAGCATTGGCCCATGCACTAGAAGGTCGCACCTGGGTTGAATCAATCTCAGCCCAGGTTGGACAGCAAGTAGGAGGCAACCATGGGTCGGTCTCTCTCACTCTCTCTCTCTCTCTCTCTCTCTCTCTCTCTCTCTTCCTCCCTCCCTCCCACATTCTCTAAAAATCAATGACAAAAATCTCCTCAGATGAGGATTAGCAAAATCAATCAAACAAAAAACCTTAAATGAGAGTATTTTAAAAGGAAAGTTACCAACGTACGTGTAACTGGAAAACCAGTGGTACATGCCATTGATGGCAAGTCTAAAAATAAATACAAAGCGGGGGGAAAGCAAAATAATGAAATTCTCCCCAGTTGCAATTGCCTGGAGAAGGGTCTTGTTAAAAAGGCAGATGAAGCCTGGCAAGTGTGGCTCAGTGGTTGAGTGTTAACCTAAGTTCAGGAGATCACCATTTGTTTCCCGGTCTGGGCACATGACTGGGTTGTGGGCTCGATCCCCAGTAAGGGGAGTGCAGGAGGCAGCCAATCAATGATTCTCTCTCATCATTGATCTCTCTTTCTCTCCCTCTCCTTTCCTCTCTGAAAGTAACAAAAATATATTTAAGAAAAAAAAAGAAAAAGAAAAAGAAAAGAGTGTTGGGGAGGCAGTGGGAGAGGAGGAGAGAAGCGTTAAGGAAGGGCATGGTAGCCCCTAAAGCAGACTTGCTCTGAGGAAGCGATTTGAAAAGCAATCTAAAGGGAGTAATTTTCTCGCGGCTGGACTTCCAGGGCGGAACAAACAGAAAGCTGAGCTGGGAAACAGGTGTTTTCAGCCTCTGTTTGCACTCCTTAGTATAAGCCAGTGGTCGGCAAACTCATTAGTCAACAGAGCAGCAAACCGCGGCTCGAGAGCCGACCACTGGATACTATAAGCGGCCAGCCTGGGGAGGGAGCAGGTGGACCGCTCCTTCCACCATTTACAGCGGGGAGGGGAGGGAGATCTGGGGGAGATAATAGATCAACCGAAGGACTTGTATACATGCATATAAGTACAACCAAATGGACACAAAACTCTGGGGAGGGAGGGTATGTATGAGACGGGGGGAGGGACAATGTTAAAATATGTACACAGAGAATAATTTAATTAAAAAAGTTAAAAAAAAATAAAGAGGTAAACATTTCTAGGAGAAAAAAATCTTCCCAATCAACAATTATAGCCCTAACTGTTGCAGGTGTGGGTGGAGGAGGAGGGGGGAATGATTTAATGATCAAATCAGACTACTTTCAAGTTGTGTAGCCTTGGATAAGCCAACTTCTCTGAGCCTCATTTTCCTCTTCTGTAAAATAGGAATAATCATAATAACAACAACAATACCCCTTAGAGGGCAGCTTTCAGGGTTAAATGGCCCTATGACAGCTGCATGGTACAGTACCTGGCCCCTACAAGCCCCTCAATGAATGAGGACATTTATGGGACAGCCCTGGGTGTGTAAAGATGGGAGGGTCTCAGGCATCGACCAAGCTGAGTTTGGGGGAATGACTTGGGGTTTTTTCCATGAATGCAATGGGCCTCGAGTCTGTGTTCTATTTCAGGTGCGGACAGGCCTCCTGATGAACCTGATGGGCATCATGATCCTCAACATGGCCATCAATACATGGGCACAGCCCATCTTCCAGCTGGGCTCCTTCCCGGACTGGGCCCAACACCACCTAACCAACGTCACAGGAAAACCACCCTCCCTGGTGGCCAACGACACCTCACTGGCCCTCTGAGTCCTCCTCGGAAGCTCTCTCTGGGCTGGGCCCTCCCACAAGGCTTTACCACTACCCGCTCTTAGGGTCAGGCAGGACGATCAAGCAATTCTCTGTGGTCCAGGAGGCAGCAAGCAACGGTAACCTCCGGGGGCCCACTGGGGTCAGCAAGTTCATTACCTAGGACACCTTCTCCTCACTCATGCTGTTCAGGGCCCAGACGTGTCCCAGATCTGCTGCCTGAGACACCAGCTCCTTCATCTCTGAGCTGGAATGTGGTTAGGATGCAAGAGGGCCCCGCGTCAGCACCAATAAATAAATCTAGCACTGCATTTGCCGTGAACAGTCGCGATGGGAATCTCTCCATCCCCAGGGGCACCGTGACCATGCCCCACTGGCTCCTGTAGGTTGCACTCTGGACAGACCCTCGTGCCTTTCGGGGCCACCTTCCTCGGAGACCTGTTCCAGCTGTTCACAGCTGGTACATGTTCAGTGCAGTTGGTGCCTGTTCTGTGCCAGTTGCTTGACTATTTCCCCTACTGAAACCCAGCAGCCAGGGGAATTTTCAATCCATGGAGCCGGGGTTGGGGGGAGCAGGGGCCAGAAGGGACAGGTGGGTCTTGCAGGCGTGGACACTGCGCAGAGCCTCTTCCTGCTTCTCGGAGCCCCCAGCACACCAGGGGAGTTCTAGAACCCACTCTGACATGTCTGCCCAAGCTTTTATGATTCTCCTGTTTAATCGGATTCACTATGGCCATGTTTCTGGAGTTGGGCCAAGCCCGGGCCCTGCCCTCTTGCAGGCGACTCATGGCTCCTCCAGCCAGAACCCTCCTGCCTGTGGCTGACAGGGGCCCTCGTGGCTGCTGGCTGCTGCTTGCTCAGCAGCTGTTTCCATCCCTACACCAGGTGACAAGCATGTTTGATTAGCAAAGGCCCTGTTTTTTTCAGGGAGGAGAGGGAAGTCAGGAGACAAACTGGGGCCTCGTAAAGGGCCAGGGCGAATTGTCTCAAGCAGGTCAAGCATCACGATCCTCTTTACAGACAGGGACTCTGAGACTTCCCGAGAGCCAGGGGCTGGCGGGCTCTCCTCGGGGATTCCACCACTGTTGGCTTCAAGCAGAAGTCTCTGGGCATCTTCAGGGAACAGCACGGTCTTGTGGCTCATTCCTGCGGATGCTCAGGAAGTGTCTGCGGAGCGAGTGGCCCGGCATTAGGGTAGCACCAGCGAAGGCACCACCGAGGGCCCCAAAGCCCCTCTCCCCTTCCTGCACCTTCCAGGGATGAGGTTCCCTGAGCGGCAGCCTGGACCTGGCAGGCAGTTCCCAGAGACTGAGCTCACCCTCAGTGCAGCCCGAGTGAGTCACGGATGGTTCCCTGGAAGCGGGGAAAGCCCACCCCCTTCCCATATGAGCAGAATGTCAGCTTTTAGTCACAGCTCCAGCCCCGGGGGCGAGGAGTGGGGGAAGCTGTGCTTCCTGTGGGACAGGGGAGGAGAGAGGTTCATTCACAGAGAAACCCACGGAACTTATAACCAGATGAACCGTGATTTCAAGTGCTTTTGATTGAAAATGCCATAAAATAAAGAATGTTGATCAGCACGGGCCCTGGAGGTTGTTTTTGTTGTTCTGGACATCAAAGAGCTCCAAAGCCCCACATTCCTGAGGAGAGAGTTTCACAGAATTGATCTCCCTCATCTCATGTTATTACTGCTCTCTGCTCGCTGCTCTATTCCAGCCCCTCACTCAAAGCCTCCTGCCTCGGGGCCTTTGCACATGCTGTTTCCTCCGCCCAGAACACTTCACTCCCAAATAGACACTGGTTTCCTCACTTTATTCAGGTCTCTTCTCCAATGTCACCTCCCCAGAGAAGCTCCCCTGATCATCTAGTCTAAAATATCACCTTCATTATTCTCCATCTCCTGATGCTACTATAGTTTTCTCAGTATTTACTCACGATATTGTATTATTAATTATCTTATTAAATGTCTCTCTCTCTCTCTCTCTCTCAAATGTAAGCTTATGAGAAGACAGCTTTCTTTTGTTCTGAGTTGTAACTCCAGTGCGTAGAGCAGTTTCTGACACATAGTGGATGCTCAGTAAATATCTGATAAATGAGTCTGTACCAGAATTTATGAGAAAGCTATCTTACCCTCTGATGTGGGGTCTGTTTGGCTCATTTCTTTGCTCACTCATCCTTTCATTTATTCAAACACTAATTTATTATGTGCTCATTCACTGTCTCCGCTTACAGGAACTTATATTCTAGCTGAGGGGATGGGGTGTACACAGGTGAACAAGCAAGAGAAATGACTCTGGGTCAGGATGCGGGCTGAGAAGAAAAGGAAACCGGCCACGGTGACCACTGGCTCAGACGCTGCTTTAGGCAGAATAGTGAGGGAGGACTCCTCTGAGGAGGTGGCACTGTACCGAGACCAGAGGGAGTCAGCCATGGTGGCATGGGAGGATGGGGGAAGGCAAGGGAGGTGCAGAGTCATTGGAAATATACCGGGACACATGTCTGGAATCTGAGGGAGCCAGAAGAGACCAAACACCTGTTTTGGTTACCTGTGGTTACCTAATAAAGCAACCCACAAAACCAGGGCTTTAAAACAAAACCCACTGTATTGGCTCGCATTTCTGTTTTGGACAGAGTTCTACAGGGATGGTGTAGTCTCTGCTCTACATGGTGCAGCTGGATGTCCACCGTGGCCGTGAACCCTCTGGGGTGCGGTGGCTTCTCCAGGGTCTAGCCTGGACTTCTTTACATGAAGTGGGCTTCCAGGAAGAAACAGTAGAAGCTACAAGACCCCTGAAGGCCTGGGTTTGGGAGTACACGGACGTGAATTCTGACATATTCTATTGGCCAGAGCCCATCGAGGGCTGGCCTGGTTTAAGGGCAGGAAATAGGCTCCACTCCTTGTGGGGAAGAGCAGCGTCCCTATACGAGGGAGACAAGGGTTAGCCACCATCTTCGGAGCCTTCTATCGTAACACCCAAGAGGAAGTTGAATGAGAGACTTACACATGCCATTCTGAAAAGCGATATCTAAGCAGCCTGCAGGTTTATAAACAGGTGCTCACACCCACTTGTAATTAGATAAAGGCAAGTTCAACCAAGATTTAACAATATGCCCATCAGACTGGGGAAAAGTTGAAAAGTGGACGATAAGTGGTAGTGAAATGGGAAGAAACAGAAACCCTCGTGTTCTGCTGGTGAGACGTTAAATTATTACCATCAGTCTGGCAAGCAATGTGGGGTTTGTTTTTGTTGTGTTTTATTTTGTTTTGTTTTAATCCTCACCCGAGGATATTTTTCCATTGGTTTTTAGGGAGTGTGGAAGAGAGGGAAAGACAGAGAGAAATATGGATGCGAGAGAGACACATCGATTGGTTGCACAGAAGAGCCTGCAACTGAGATCCATGCCCTTGACTGGAATCGAACCCAGGACCCTTGGGTCCGCAGGCCGACGCTTTATCCACTGAGCCAAACCGGCTAGGGCTTTGTTATCTGCATTCTCTGTGCCCCGTTATCCTACTCCTGGATTTCTATCCCAGCAAAACCGGTCTCTAAGGAGAATATGGAGAAGGATATTTGTGCCACTGTTGTTTGAGGGGCCAAGGAGCTGGAAGTCACCTAAGTGATCATTGCTGGTAAAGCTATTTAAGTGAAACAGGACTTTCTATGGTGCTGAAAATGGTCTATATCTGCCTTGTACAATACAGTAGCCACTTGTAACTTAAGTGTGGCTAATTGGAATGGAGATGGGCTGTCAGTATAACACACACACCGATTTTAAGAACTTAGTAAAAAAAAAAAAGTGAATGCAAAATGTCCTTATTAATACTTTAAAAAATATATATATAATATATATATATATAATATATATATATAATATATATATATATTGATTTTTTTTTTTTTTACAGAGAGGAAGGTAGAGAGATAGAGTGTTAGAAACATCGATGAGAGCAAGATATGGATCAGCTGCCTCCTGCACACCCCCTACTGGGGATGTTCCTGCAACTAAGGTACATGCCCTTGACCGGAATCCAACCAGGGACCTTTCAGTCCACAGGCCGATGCTCTATCCACTGAGCCAAACTGGTTTTGGCCTTATTAATACTTTTTATATTGACTATATAGTTAAGGGATATTATATTGGACATATTAGGTTAAGTAAAATGTTTTATTAAAATCAATGTCACGCCCTCGTGACCATGGCTCAGTGATCAGAGTGTCAGCAGGTTCAATTCTGGTCACAGGAACGTACCTGGGTTGCAGGTTCGATCCCGGGCCCCAGTCGGGGCATGTGCGGGAGGGAACCAATCAATTGATGTGTCTCCCTCACATTGATGCTTCTTTTTCTCTCCTCCCTCTTTCTCTTTCCCTCTCCTCGTTTTTTTCCCTACTCTCTCTGAAAATCAATGGGAAAAATATCCTCGGGTGAAGATTTTTTAAAAATTAATTTCACTTTTTTTAAGTGGCTGCCCGAAATGTGTTTAAATGGTTCCCATTCTGCTTCTATTGGAAAGCACTGTCTATTTGGGAAGATTTCAGCCCCCTCTGCCTATTCTCAAATCAAGTGCAAGGCAGTGACATTCCACACCCACAGCCTGTGACATTCAATCACTCCTACCGTGTGTGGACCTCCGAGTCTGATTCCAGATCTGAGGGCTTACCACTTCCTCTTCCTGTCCTGTCTTATGGCTATGAATCCTCTATGCAGAAATTCCCTTCAACTGCGTTCATTCTATTTTGGTGATTCAGAAGCCCCTTCCGGATGTTGTGGGCCTTGAAGTCAAGCAAGCCTTATATAGGCAGAAGTGGCTGCCTACGTGTGCTGAGAAAAGCCAAAAATATCTTCTGCCCTTTCCCTGCCTATTGCCCCCATCCTCCCAAATCTTACACATCCACCAGAGGCCTTTGGAAATGACCAACATGGGCCTTAGCCAGTCAGCTCCCTGATGCCAGTGCAGAAACCGGGCAAATGCTGGTGTCTTCCAGGGCACTGCGCTGCTCATC